GAAATCAAAGCGAGGGCGGCGCGATCAAGTTGCTCAGCGTGACGGTGACCCACACGGCCGCTCCTTGGCCGACCCACGCCTTCCTACGATGTGCGACACGCTCGCCACGCCCCCCACCTCGACTTCCCCCCACCCCAGTTCGTCCTTCAGCCACACGCGAGAGTTGCCGCCAGAGGCATCCTCCGCCCGCGCTCCCGCAATCATCCAAGCCCTACCGCCAACAGACTCCGCCCGCTCCTGTCGTGGATCTGGCACGCCCTTGAGGCCACCGCCAGCGCGCACACCAGCACGAACACCGCTGACAACCTCGTCGCCATCCTCCCGCGCTTTAGGCTGATTTGCGCCAAGCGGTTCGGTTGCCTGCCGTGGGCTGCCGGACCAGCCAGCGAGGGCGGGGGGAGTGGCGTGAGCTTGGAAGGGCCCCCGTCCAAGCGGGGTCCGTTCACTCCTTTCAGCCGAATACAGGACCCCCCCTGTCGGGCCTCGCTTATTGATCCCCGTCTTGCCAGAGTGTCCAAGGTCGCGGCACTCGCCGGATCCGCGCAGGTGGCCATGACAAAGTACACACGAAGGTGGGGCGTCGCACCCCGGACGGATGCCCCGGCGGGATGTGCTTTGATAGCCGGCACGCGCCATGGTTCCTGTGGCTCGCCAGGAGGAGGACCCCTCATCTATCGGAACGTCCCGTCCTCGTTCAATCAATCATTCCGGCGAAGGGCCGTGTTTCTTTAGTGGGCAGGCGAGTGATGGCCCCCCGTGACGGTGCTGCGCCTTGATCGATTGAATCATGGCCGCGGAGGGGAGATTCCTGGTAGGGTGCTTTGCTCCTTCACAGGAATGCAGGACAGATGGCCGCCTAATAACTGTGCAGTGCCTTCTTCGGTTGATTGACGGCCCCGGCGGGGGTGCAGAAACCAAACCTCACTCTCATGTGATCCACGTCGCATGCTGCCATGGGGTGATTGCCTGAAGCGCCTCGCCTAAACCAGCTGGACAGATGAGATCCCCTGAGCAGTCCAGCACTGACACAGGATATGCCCGCAACCCCACATTGACGGGCAGTCCTCAAGTCATGTCAAGCGCCTGCCAGCAGGATCCCCACCAGCAAGGGGTTTTCCGCCAAAGTACAAGGCCCCAGTGAAACCTTCCTTCTTCAGGGCCACAGCAAATTGTGCGCCTCTACTCTCCAACCGACGGCGGGTGTTCCGGACTCGACGGTGACTCTGCGATACCGATCGCCACCCCTTGCGCGACAAATGCCAAAACAGTCGAGCAGCTCCGCCGGAACGCCGCCTTTTTTTCCCCCCGGCCCATTGACCGCTCTGAAAGCATCGGCGCCAAGCTCAACACTGCAACAGAACCACCCTCCAAGATCTGCGCTGCCAAAATCATACATGATCGTACATGATTCTGGCGTCCAGGCACCACATGCACTGTGCTTCCGCCATTACACTGGAGCCACAACCGAGCCTCGCCCCGTCTGCGCCCTCCCTGCTCAAGCCGCAGGGCGACCGCCCCAAGAAAGATGCAGACAGAAGGCCCGCGACCTTGCTCGACTGCTCTTTCGTCTCCTCTCGGTACCGAGATGGATACCCACAACCCTGAGGAAGCTGGCATCCGAAGACATCCGGTATCGACCGGGCATCGCTTCCTTCTCCCTGTGCTCGCGTCCACCGTTCAAAACAGATGGGCAACAGCTCGCGAGTCGATGTTGTCCCCAAAGTCGAGCAGCGCCAGGCGGTGTGGCACGCCGCCATCCGACGAGGGCCACAAAGCGGGGAGCGCGACCAGCGAACGCAAGCTGGGCTTATAGAGATGTCAAGTCTTCGCTATCCCAGGCCTGGGAGCTGCAGCGCTGTTGAGTAAGCGCACTGCGGCGCCTCGCAAGGCCCTGACGACGCCGGCTTCTGGGCGCGGCGCCATTCCGGACATCGATAACAGCCCCACCTCAACCTGGCGACCTCCGGAATCCCCAGTGCGCCTTTGCGCCTGCCAAAAGGCAACGTGGCAGCAAATTGCCATTAGCATTTCCGGCGCCACTTTTCTACCCGAGTTCCATTCCGCACTCACAGACAGGGGCCCGCAGTATGGGACACCGCCAAGGACACCAACAACCTTCAAGCCCACGCCACCCCACTCCAGTCCCCTCGACGGAACCCTCAATCCCACGCGGTTGAGCGGCCTCAGAGTCCCACGCGGCCCACACGGCTATCCGGGATCACCCCTCTCCAGCCCTCCCAGCGGCAACAAACAAACAACAGACAAACAACCGGCAATTGCCCATCGTCCGCTCGCTCCACTCCACCATTGGCCGTGCAGCCCCAGCAGGCTCCTCCTTGACAGCTCCAGACCGCCGCCCGCAGCCGGCAACAGATACTTACACAGACGCAGATCGCCCCTGGATCCGATGCACGGTCGCGAGGTGCGCAGAGCGTGGGAGGTTTCGCTTGAGCCCGGTGACAGCAGCACGGCGCGACTCGCCAATAGCAATATCTTTCATTCGAATGGGTGCCACGGTTGGCGTTGGCGGCTGGGGGTGATACCTACCCGACGGGGGAGCCGCCGCCCGTCGTTCGCGCCAACGGCGAAGGCAGCGGGACAGGAGCGTGCCCATACGGAACTGTCGGTGTGGGGATGGCTGTCGGCCAAACTGCGCCTTGGAAAGGGGGAGTGGGCCGCTACATGCGCCTGATCCCAGCCTGCGATCCCCTCCGCGGGCCTGGGCACCACGTGCCAAAAAGGTTGCGACGGTGGGGGAAAGGCGCACACTCCGCGGCACTGGACGGCGGACGTCGGCGATGCAGCTATTGGGATATGCATGGATGGCATGGTAGTGCGACGTGGGGAGGGGGATGATGGGACACGGACGTGGGCTGATGGTGCATCAGCTCCCGGGGAATCCACAGGCGGGCAACACACGATCGTGTACCGCATACTCGCCAGTATGCAGTGGACGTATCCAGCAAGGTATGAAGGGCCCAACGTTCATACGGTGCTGGACAGATTGCAAACGCTGTCGTATCGAAATACAGCGGGGACAGGTGCTCCGACTGATATGAGCTGAAACGACGGACCGCCCCGAAGGGCGTCCTCGGGAAAAAAACGCATACATGCAGTGCATGTATCCAGTACATCATGAAGTGCATAATAGTCATACACTTCAGGACAGATTGCCGACGTTGTCCTTTCGAACTGCTAAGGGGCAGATCTGCTCGGACTGCGGCTGACTCTTGGCCGCCGAACTCCATGGCGTGGCCTACACGAAGGCCAAAAAATGGCCCAATCGGTATCATGCTGGCCACCTCACGATGTTGGACGCCTCGCGGTCGAGTCGCGCGACTCATGCTGGCATGGATGATGCATCTGAGTTGCAGATTTCCGCGGTGTACAGTTTCGTGTGCTTGATCGCTGGTAAGCGAGCGTACACGGGCCCTGGGATTGGATCGATTTGGTTTGGAGCTCTCTGACTCAGAGGTCTGAATCGGAATTCGGGATCGGATCCGACCGCCATGAGAATGGATCGTGTGGCTATGGCAGGCATGTATGCATCCAAGAACGTCGTGTGGCAGTGGCACAACAGGATACGGGGATCCCATACACGGCACGAATGGCTGCATCGCACCGTGTACTGGCTGGTAGTATGTGCGCACACCGTATCTTTAGACCCAGCTGCCACAGGACCAGGATCTCAAGCGAGTGGACATATCGAGACATTCATCAAGGGGTGCGATTTACACGGTTCCATTTGCCCCCACAGCAAAATGCTGCATGCAAGCTTGGAAAACGTAGCGACTTACAAACATTTTTGATTGAAAATGTTTATCAAGAGAAGACGCTATGTCGATTTTGGTACGCTTAGCGTCAGCAGAGCCTTGTTTCGCCCTGCTGCATGCTGCGATCGACGAATGAGTGCAGCACAGAAAGGGAGCTTAGAAAGCCGCCAGATCCCCATCAATTTCCCCAAAGAAAGTATAGTGATAAGAAGGTAATGAAGGGATACTTTGAGCAATACACAGAACTGATGAAGTGGAATGAAAGAAGAGCTGAAATCATCTGCGAATGCATTTGTTCCAACGACAAAAAGGTCCATGGGCCTGCAGCTCAATAGCGGATATTTCAAATCTCAAGCAGTGCTTGCTCCCAGATTTTCAGTCCTAAAGTCCGCAAGAACCACTCACAGGGCCTGCTAGCATTAAATTCTTAAGACTGGACAGAGAATGAATTAAACATGCCAAATAAAAGGCTGGCAACTGCCGTGCACATCAGCACATACTGCGCCGGAGCCGCAGGGGTGAAGTCTAAGGTATGACGGCGGTTTGTGCATGCTGGGAATGCAACTTCTGAAGTTGAATGAAGAAGTTCCTTTTATGGTGGTTTCCTGAAGCCGGCAGTTCAGAGATATGGTGACATGGTCCAGGCGTCGTGTGGTGAAATTCTGGGGATGTGAAGCTCTTGGGACGCCCGTTCTCAAAGAACAAGAGAATACCTAGTTCGTGGTTTTCCGCCTGGTTCCACGGGCATGAAATGATTGCATGTGGTGACGTGGTCCAGGCGTCGTGTGGTGAAATTCTAGAGATGTGAAGCTCTTGGGACGCCCGTTCTCAAAGAACAAGAGAATACTTGGATCATTGTTTTCCGCCTGGTTCCACGGGCATGAAATAATTGCGTGTGGTGTAAAGCACAGGGGGTAGTATGTTTCTCTAGTAATTGGGTTACTGGGAGGTTAAAGTACAATAAACAATGCGGTTGAATATCTCATATAAAAGTAGAGTCCATTAGGAGCTCATAGGTTCTTGAACCGCCTCCATTGGGTTAGCGGTAGAGGAGTTATTGTTAGATATATTACCAGTACTTTAGACTCCCTCGCCGGAACCGTATTGGGGGATGAGACACAATCGTACGGGCCCGTACGCTGCATTGTCACATGATCCGGGTGGAGGCCACCCCCTCAAAGGGGCGACCTCCTATCAGACTGTAATTCCATTCTCTCGCCCACTCCGCCCACCCCGGGGCTGCACCCGCAGGCCGCACCGGCGTCGCGCACTCACTGCGCGCACTGCCGCCCCGCGCCCGGCCGATCGCAGGCTTGGGCCCACACTGCGCACCCCGAAGAAACGAGCGCCCCGGACCGCCCACCGTCATTCAGTGGAGGAGGCCCATTCCGGCCGGATTGGGCACCGCGGCGGGCACATCGCCCGCACATCGAGCCGAAAACCACGCCAGTGGTTTCGGAGCCGGTGGACGCGGAGGACGGAAGCACGCCATGCGGCGCATGAGAGCCGAGGGGACCCGGCCCGACGGCGGGAGGGCCCCCATTCACGAGAGATCCAAGGAAACGGCCAGCCAGGTGGGCGCCCCGTGGCGCCGCCTGAATCGGCGAGGGGAACCGAACTGGACCAAACGCCTAGCCTTAAGGAGGGGGGCGTATTCTGCTGCTTCTCGTGCCTAGCCCGACGGCGGGGGGCATTGGCTTGTGAATCCGCACGCCGAGCCCGACGGCGGGAGGCACATTCCGCAGGAATTGACCGCCAGATTGGGGCACTAGAGGACGCCGCTTGCGTAGGGTACCCGGGCCCGGCGGTGGGGGACATGATCCGTGGACCCGCGCGGTGAATCGGCGGCGGGGGATGCAGGCCGGCGGGTGCCAGGCCCGTGGAGGGGCACAGTGAGTAGAGTGAACGGGTGGAGGCAGCACTCGGGGTCGCGGGGGTCGACGCAGGTGTGACTGGACCCCTCCGAGTGACGTGACGGGGGGAAGCTGTGGGAATCCGCCCATGCCGTGTACTGCTGGCTGGGGGGGTCCCGAGTAGCAACTTCCAAGAGGGGGGGGCGGCGCTGAGTAGCGACCTGCCAGGCCCTGCAAGTGAACTGTGCCTCAATCTGTGATTTTGCATCGTACTGGATCCGGGAGGATGTTGATTCCCCACTCCAGGGAACCTCCTGGGAAGTTTTTGCCTGCATCAACACTCTACAGGAGCAGCTGAGAGGTCCATAGACCCTCTCAGTGGGTGGAGAGCGGTTCTCTACATCGAACTTGGAGTAGTTGAGGGGTCCATGAAACCTCTCAACGGGTGGAGAGCAGCTTCCAGTGACTCGACTGGAGTAGCTGGGGGGACTGTTTGCCCCTCAGCAGGTGGAGAGCAGTTTCCTAGAGGACTCGTCTAGAGTAGCTGAGGGGGTTGATTGCCTCTCAGCGGGTGGAGAGTAGTTCCCTATGACTGGAGCTGGCAACCCCTACATCCACCCTACAACATATTGCGGAGTACGACAGCTCCCCAAGAGGCTCAGTAGGGTACCTGAACACTAGAGCTTGATCTACAAAGGCCAGTAGGGTGCCAGTGCACCAGGCCTAGGGCCCTCCGAGCGGGCCAGTGATAGTTTGGGGGCCGTCCCACTCCATTAGGGCACTTGGCCAGGAGGTCGGGGGGCGAAGGGCTGAGAGTCACGGACTATACCTAACCAGCCTAGATAATTGTGAAGGGTTACAGGCCTGCTTGGTGGCAACAGTACCTTATCCAGAAAAAAGGCTGACCCCAGGTTGAAGCCAGCGGCCGCCCCACAGTTGTTAGGGGGTGCCAGTAGAAGTGGGTAGACGGGACACGGACCGGCTTGCACCTTACATAGCCCCATAGGCGGCGGTCAGAGTGGGAGCTCTTGGTGCCTATCACTCGCAATACAGGGCAGTAGGGGAGTGGCCTATAATGCTGCGCAGACACCCCAATTGTTCCTAGCCTAGACCAGTGCCCCCCGAGCTGCC